TAAAATCTGTAAAGAAAGACTTCTAAATGTTTGAAGAAAAGTTTGTGTCAATGAACATGTTTGTAAGTAACTATAAGCGTTTGACAACCCTAGAAAATCCCATATTTCCTACTAGTATAAAAGTAGTCTTCTACCAAGACCCAACTATTTTGAAAGTAGCCTTCTACCAAGACCCGACTGTTTTGAAAGTATCCTTTTACCAAGACCTGACTGTTTTGAAAGTAAGCATCACTGTAAATGTGACGGTTTTTCCCTTGTATAACTATTATTATAACACTATAGTCTACCTCATCGTTTATGTGTATGTGTCACAATATAAAGGTAATAAGGAAAATAGTCTATCTATATCAAATATATTCTACCTCATCGTTCATGTGAATGTGTCACAAAGTAAAGGTAAGAAGGAAAATAATATAATAACTACAATTGTATCATTTTGTACTAGGATATTCACGACGTGGTTACTCGCCGAGCAGTACAATCGTAGACACCCATTGATGAGCATTTTCCCTACCGTAGCTAACAACCTTAGGTGTGGAGTGGTAAGTCTCAAAACATATGTAATAGATTATATGTAATAGTATTTGTGTAAACGTATCTATGTAAACGTATTTATGTAAACGAATTCATGGAAATGTATCTATGTAAACGTATCTATGTAAACATATTTATGTAAACGTCTTCATGTATACGTATCTATGTAAACATATCTATGTAAACATTACTTATATAACTATACATATATAAGTTTATAAACAGTGATTGGATCGGATGGAAGTGTCGGACAAGTGCTTGGTGTCAAGTGAAGACTTAAACACACACAATGATCCTAATAACATATAAAGACATATATATATATATATATATATATATATATATATATATAATTAGTGATTTAAACACTAATTAGACAAGTATAAACATCCTAATGTGAGGAAAACACTTTGGTCAAAGTGTTAGGAGGCTATTGGGTTGCAACAAAGGAGTATAAGGCTTTGTATTTGAGTTTATGGTCCATAGACCATACTTATTGGATTTTACGGCCCAGGGGAGTTTACTCCTGGCCGTAAACTCTCAAATGGGTCTCCAATTGAGGCTTAAAGCTATTATGTCTTAAGTCGTTAAGTGTTCCAAGGCTTAAACAAGAGGTTAGGTTAGTTTAAGGTCCAAGAATGACCTTATCTTGAGTTTACGGTCTGGGGAACACTTCCCCATGAGTTTATGGCCGTAAACTCATGGTATGAAGTACCATTTCGTTTCTTGAAGTCCCTAGTTCAATGGTGTAAGGTTCTAGACTAAGTTATGGGCATAAGGAAGGAGGAAAGGGCGTCATTGCACCCTTATAGTGAGTTTACGGCCTTGAGAGATCCTTGGTTGTAAACTCTCATTCATCCATCTATTCTTGATGATTCTAAGCTCGAAACATGTTAAACCTAATGTACAATGAGTTAGAACAAGAGTACTTACGATCTAGGATCTTGAATGGTCAGGTTTAGCCAAGAACACTAGTGTATGTTCTTGGTGTTCTTGGTGAGAGTAAGAACACTTGAAGATAAACACAACTGGAATGATTTCACGGATGGAATTGTGTAAGATCACTAGATTAAGTAAGATATCAACTAGTTAGGACAAGAAAGTTATGAGTTTTGAAGATCAGGGACGAAGATCGGGGTGATACTTGAGAGGATTTGGGAGGAAATCAGCCAAGGGAAAGAAAGACATGAACTAATGGCCACATATCATGATATAAGGGTGGGGTTTATGGCCCAAATGGAGTTTACGGCCGTAAAATCCCATGTGGTGGCCGTGAACTCCTTGTAAAGGTTTTTAAGGCTGGTTCTTTGAGCTATAAGTTCAGTAGATAAACCTCGACACTCATCCCTTAAGTGTACAAGGCCCATAACGCTCAAACAGACTCCAAATTGTGCTAAATGATAGCAGAAATGAGTTTGAATTTCAATGAATTGTTTGACAGTATAGGATAGAAAATTTTGGGTTGGCACATCTGTAGTGTCTCTTGTACCATTTACTCGGACCACAAGAACTTGAGGTACCTCATGGATTAGCCGGATATGAATTTAGGAAGCGTCGGTGGTAAGATGTGGTGAAGGATTATGACTGTGAGATCCTTTATCACCCAGGGAAGACCAATATGGTGGCCGATACTCTTAGCCGCAAGGAAGTGGAGGCATCGATATGATACATATATCTGAGGATGATAGTGATTACTCCATTGCTGGAACGGATTTGGGAGGCATAGGTCGAGGGTATGAAGGAAGAGCATCGGAAGTGCGAGCGGATTGTAGGCCAGGTGGCCTCATTTGAATATGTCAGCTATGGGTTATTGACCCTGCGTAGGAGGGTCTGGGTTCCTTATTGGGGCGAAGTATGACAACATCTGATGGATGAGGCCCACAGGTTGAGGTTCTCCACCCATCCCGGGGCGACGAAGATGTATCTAAATCTTTGCCCTGGTTATTGGTGGCCCTTCATGAAGCGGGACATAATGGTATGTGGAGCGATGCTTGATTTGCAGGAAAGTCGAGGCTGATCACCAGTGACCTCATGACAAGATGCAACCATTGGAGATTCTCGTGTGGAAATGGGAAGATATCACTGTGCATTTCATCATGAAGCTTCCCAAGACCGCACATGGAGTAGATTCGATATGGGTCATCGTGGATCGGTTGACCAAGAGTGCTCATTTCATGCTGATCTAGGAGAGTATATTAGATGAGAAGCTAGAAGAGATCTACGTACGTGAGGTAGTGGCACATCATGGAGTGCTAGTTTCGGTTGTGTCAGACCAAGATGTTCGTTTCAGTTCCAGATTTTGGAAGCGGTTTCAGGATGAGATGGGTAATCGTCTTCACTTTAGTACCACTTTCCACCCTCAGAAGGACGGGCATAGTGAGAGGATGATACAGACTCTAGATGACATGCTGCGTGCGTGTATATTGGCTTTTGGAGGCACTTGGGATACGTATCTTCTGTTAACGGAATTGTCTTATAACAACAGCTACCACGCTATCATAGATCGACCTCCCTTCGAGATGCTATATGGGAGGAAGTGTAGGACCCCAATCTGTTGGGGCGAGGTTGGTCAGAGAGTCATGGGGAGTACTGAGGTAGTACTGAAGACCACTAAGAACATTTAGCAGGTCCAGAGAAGGCTTCAGACTACTCAGATTCGAAAGAAAAGTTATGTCCACCAGCACTGTTTAGACTTGGAGTTTCAGGTAGGCGACATGGTCCTCCTGAAGGTGTCATTCGGTTTAGGAATCGAGGCAAGCTAGCCCCCAGGTATGTCGGTCCATTCAGGGTCTTTGCTCAGGTGGACCGAGTTGCTTATTGTTTGGATCTTCCAGCAAAGCTCATCCAGATCTACAACACTTTTCATGTCTCCCAGCTATGAAAGTGCTTAGTGGATGACTCTGCAGTCGTGCCTTTAGAGGATATCCATGTTGATGACAGCCTGGACTACATTGAGAGACCAGTAGCCATTCTCAGCAGGAAGACGAATGAGTTGAGGAACAAGAGGCTGGAGCTGGTAAAGGTGAAGTGGCAGCACCGCAAGGGCTCGAAGTGGACTTGGGAGCCTAAGGAGGAGAAGAGGAAGCACTACTTGGAGTAGTTTCCTGACACAGCAGACTTCGAGGACGAAGTCTAATACAAGTGGGGGAGAATTGTAATGCTCAGTTCCTGGTATGCATTTAATTAAAGATTTATTCACTTTTGTATAGCAACTCGACGAGTTAGAGGCCCCAAACTCATTGAGTGGGAATGGAATTGGACACGGGATGTAAAGTCTACTCGACGCGTTGAGAGCCCCAACTCGACGAGTAGGACTAGTAGAGTGAAACCCTAATTCTTAGGGTTTTACCTACAATGTGCCAATAACATCTGAGAATTGAGAATGTATAAATCAAAATTAATGGTACAATACAAGGGGTTATAAAAGATTCATAACCTTTCCCCTAATATCACAACAGTAAAGGTCTTCAGGTGAAGATCTCGGCCTATGTATTGGCAGATAGACCATACAAGTGCATGACAATGACTAACATTTTATAGCATCACACAATAAGCCTAACTAAGCATACAAATCAACGGAGCATGGCTCAATAATAGCAGTCATGCGACGTCTGCGGCACACATTAGCATTTTAACATAAAACCTAGAACAAGGGAGTATGCTTAAGGATAACATAGGAAAAATCATAAAATATTTGTATACATACAAGAAAACGGAAGAAAACACTTCAAAGAAAAAGTACAAAACAAAATACACAGTTAATGGTTAGTAATGGCCAACATTTTTTACTATACACATAGTATATAAAAAGGAAACTACATAACGAGCGAAAGGGCAAGACACAAATCAGCCCTCAGAGTTTGAAGAAGAACTTCCCGGATTCGACATACCACAAAACTGGCAGAAGCTATCATAATCCAGCTCCCCAAGAAAAAGAGGCCCGCGAAATCCATCTCAGCCAGGGACGATAGAGTGGCATCCAACTTTTCAAACCTTCTTGCAACACAACCATGATCCGGGACCTCAGGTTCTCCGGAACTTGTAGAGCAACCACCCAGTCACTTCCCCTTTTCAAATCCAAGGGCCTCACATGCCTCACGAACACCCTATACCCATTTGGCGAGCTCAACGCTCTAAATAACTCTATCAATCACATGAACCACCCCCTTCTCCAACACCAAATTCAAACTACATCGAGTGACGACACCTTTAACATAGGATCGAGCCAATTATCGTTGATACATTACCAGTCTGTTCGTTAACATATCCTTATCTCAAGTGAGAGAGCTCACTTGGTCCTTAAGTCTCTTTGACCAGTCCTATAAAGTGGCCAAATGATCCTCTAAAGCGACCTTCTCATAGGCCACAATGTTGTTCTGCTCAGTAAGAACTTGGTGCCCCGTCTGTGAATCACAAACCTCCTCCCTCATGCTTGCTAAGGCACCCTGCAATAGTTTCAACTGCCCCTAATTCACACCAGCACGGCGAACCCGGTCGGTGACAGCAACCATAAGGGCAGAGGTCTGGGCCACGACGTAACAAAGGTCACTAGCCATATGAGCACTTGATTGACCCGCAAGAGAACTCATCATGGCTGGAGGATGATTGCATCTACTCCACTCCTGGGCGGTAGTATCTTCCGAATGTAAGGAATCTCTAGTTATCGCCCTGAAAAGACAGGGAGTGAGTAAAGTTTTTGTTTCATCAGTCACGAAAGGCTTCTCGCCCTAAAAAGAACCTCCAGGTGAACTCGACGCACCCTGAGACATAGAGCCGAAACCAGGGCTAACCATGGGTGAACTAGTGGATGGTGAGGGTGATGCCTTCGGAGAACTTGGCACCAACACTACCTCTTTCTTCTCAGGCACAGAAAATTGACCGCCAAGAATACCCCCGGTATCACCAAGAAGCCTGGCCACATATACAATCCTACGGGCTTTACGAGGACGAAGACCTGCATCGTCAGATTCTGTCTCCTCATCCGACGACAGAACCACATGAAAACTTTGCCTTTTCCAAGTAAGATCACAACCTCTTCCTTCTTGTACCCATAAAAGAAAACCAGAAGGAACAGAAACTGGCAAGCGAACTGGGGAAACGACCCCAACGGTCGGCTGGGAAGATGAGACATGGCCGCTAGAACCTACATTTCCTTATTCCACCAAGGGTAGTCCAGCAAGCTCTTGCATGTGAATTTTAGACATAGGAGGAGGAAGAGGCTCTACATAGTCGATCTCCTGATGGCAAATCTTTCCCTGATAGTGACCACACAGGGCCATCTCCAAAGATATCTTGGCCTCAACTCCTGTAAAAACAAACGCCAAAAGTAAGATCTCACAAGCCAACAGGATATCTTATCCTCACTATGTTTTCATAAAGGGGCGGGGGGGGGGGGGAGAAGGAGACGAGTTAATATACTGCATCTCACGATGAACATCTGCGCCATCTTCCCGTAAGCCCTCCAGGCAGCACTCATGTCGTCCGCTGCAAAAATGAAATCTTCCCAGTTCCTCCCAGCGATAGTGATGTTTCCCAGATGTTTGCCAAGATTCAGGTTACTCCCAAACAACTTGGGTAGATGGTAAGAAAGTCCGGGTTCTACGAGATCTTCTCCCCATAAGGTTTTGGTTAACCTAAAGCCACTACCGTTGTCAATTTTTCGTCGGAGCGTCTTGTTTAGAAATCAATTGACGAATGCCTCTTCTCTTTGCTAAAGTGCGGACCCCGGGATTCGTAGTAGAACAGAAGTAGTAACTAAAAACCTAGAAATTTGGTACATAACCTATAGAGCGACAAATCAGTTCAAAACCAACAATTTTATTAACAGCGCTCGGGGTCAAATCGTTGACGGAAAGGCCATAGTGGTGTACAATCATGGTGAAGAAATCAAATGTCGGCAAGCGTAACCCTGCTTCAAAAAGAGGGATCGGAACCCTACCTTCTCTTGAGGGAGATCATAGATTGATACACCCTTTGCTGAAATCATTACGCCGTGCTCCGGTAAGAAGCCGAAGCGATCTTGCAAAAATTAGAACTCCTCAGTAGTAAGGACTCTACTGTAACGGTTCATTATAGAGAAAAGGATAAGTAATCGAAAAGAAAATTAACAGAGTACCCGGATTAATACAACAAATCCAAAAGCGGGATGTGAGGATGAAGAGCCTGGGGGGAAAAGGGGATTTTAAAGGCAAAAATGGCGTCACAAACCGTCTCTCAACAGGACTGACATACATTGACGGCACTTCCTACTGCCAGTCAAGTTGTAGAACTAATCCCGGGCATACACACGTTGAGATATAGACTCGAACAGCGACGCTGTTAATCCGACACATACACCTACGAGTCTAAGGGACTTGTTTAAGTATACCTCAGGGGAATGTCAAAAAAAGAAGTCAAACTAACACCAGGCTTGGCCTGGTTAGAATCCAGTCTAAAGCCAATTCTGGACCTTTGCCAACACGAAGAGCGCTGATATGGAGGTTAAGGTGTAGAGCCGAGCCTTAACCCTTTCTCCAGGAAATTGCATCCCGGAAAACATGGGACCAATCAGAGAGTATCACTCGCCCATTAGACAATAGCCATGATCTTCGTAAACTTTTGGAAGATTTCCTTCCAACCAATGAGAGAATGAGACAAAAATGTGACGGAGGACCCTCCAATATGGGTCTACCACATCACACCTCACGAGGGAATCCCTAACAGAATCAGTTGAGGGACACGCCTCTTAAACATGTATAAAAGGATCATTCTTCCTCACGAAGTGGGGGATGGAATTCTCTCTTTCTGTAATCTTCTACCATCTTTCTCAGATCTCATACTGACTTAATTGTCCAAGCTTCGTCCCGGAAACTCCTCCCGGACGTTGACGGATGGTCATTTCTCTATTTTGTACTGTGATAATAGGATAAGATACTCTTACAAATCTCCCCTGCAGTTCTAACTCCATCCTCTCCAACATATAACAACAACACGAAATACCTTAACCTCCAAAGGCTGCCCTCATTTACAACCTCTATGTCCCAAACCCAAAATCTCGAAAAGCTAATGCCTTGTGTGAGCTTGTAAGTCAGTTTTGAGAGAAAGCTTGAGCATTTGAAGCTTGAGGAAGAAGAAGAAGCTTGATGAATTAAGACAAGGTGAGTAGATCCATAAACTTCACTCCATTTGATGCATTTTCTGGTAAGCAAGTCTCAAACTTGCTTAATGATTACTTAGATCTCTTCATCTTCACTTTTAATGAGTCTTTGTTCCAAATATCTTGATCCTTGGGAAATGAACATCCCAAGTGAGTACACTTCTAGATCTAGGACCTTGAAGGTCTTACATGGCATAAAGGTGCAAATTTTATGGCCTTTGAAGCTCCATGTAAGCTTTAGGATGTCATTGTGGCCTTTTAAGCTCCAAAAGGCCTTGCATGGAGAGAAACTAGAGACTTTACGTGTTCATGTAGTGTCTAGGGTCTAGATCTCAGTTTGTATGCCTTAGCTTGAAGTATTAATGGCTTTTGGATCACGATATAGGTCTTAAAGAGTAAAGGTTTGAGCTAAACCCAAAATGGAAGGGTATTAACGGGTAAAGTTGGAAACTTTACTCTTAAAAGGACATTTTTAGTATGTATATGAAGTATGGAGATTAGGTCTGAAAGATAGGGGATTAATCTATTAAGGAATCTTAACAAACTACTGAATTCGACGAGTTCATAATGGAACTCAACGATTTGGCTCGAAATGCCCCGACCCTATAGAAGGTAAAACTCGACGAGTTGAGGATGGATTTAACGAGTGGAGTTGGAAAGCCCCAATTCTGATGATAGGAAAAAATTGATGAGTTCGTGAGGAACTCAATGTGTTGGATCGCGATTTCAGTGTTTCTGATTTATGGAACTCGGTGAATTGATGGGTCAACTCGGCGAGTTGAGTTAACATAGAATGTTGACTTTGACCAGAATGTTGACTTTGACTAGGTGGTAAAATGGTCATTTTACCCTAAGAAGGATTTTTGGATTTTGACTAAGTTTTATTGTGATAATGATAGTCGGAGTGTCGTTGGAGCAGCCATTAGAGATTCCTTACCGCGAGATTCCACAGTCAGCTTTGCGAGGTGAGTTTCCTCCTATAGGAACGGGTCGAAGGCACCAATGTACGCTCCTTTATGTATGTTAGTATATGTCGGACCAAGTTCCGATGCTGGGCAGTACCCTATGTAGGTTTATATGTTTGCAGACTTCGGTAGGATGCTGAGTAAAGCCAAAGCAATGTTTCTATGCTTGATCTCTTCGTGATTCTTGCATGTGCTTATTTTATATGTTTCTAAACTTCGGTGCGATGTCGGGAAAGCCCGAGGAATGTATGTTTGCTTTCAGAATATTTCAATCCAATGTCGGGCGGAGCCCGAGGAATGTTTATATGTTTATGTTATGTGATTATATTTATATGTATTTGTTGATATGTTTGCATTTATACTGGATTTCGGTCTGATGATGGGTAAGGCCTGATGCCAGACTTGTCCGATGCAGGGCGGGGCCCGATGTAGTGGGCAAGGCCCATGTTACATTATTATCTGATTATGTGTATGGTATGTGGTAGTTTGGGGAGACTCACTAAGCTTCATGCTTATAGTTTTCAGTTTTGGTTCCAGGTACTTCCGGTAGCAAGGGGAAGAGCTCGGGATGACTGTAGTGCACATACCCTTTGTTATAACCTAGGATGTTTTTAATCTGGTATTTTCATATGAGTTTTTGATGAGATACTTGATTTGATACTTTGATTTATGTTTTAGATGGAATAATTTTGAAAGATATGGTTATTTTAATAAATTAAAAATAAATTGTTAGACCATATTTTTGGGATGTTACAGATCCCATGCTTTTTCCCCGTGCTACCATTGAGGCTTTGGAGCTCGTCTCTAACTCGCATCTTTCAAACAAACTTTTATATGCAGCTACGTATGTTGGTTCGTTTATGGTGACGACTGCCTCTTGCCTTCATCAGAACGATTCTGGTTCGACCTAGCTTACATTGATTAAATCCGAGCGAGATGAACCGAAGGCAAGGCTTCTAGAGTTAGAGAGAGAGAGAGAGAAGTGTTCATGCGAGGAGCGCTATGATCTATTGTAAGGGGAGAAAATATCTTTAGAGGACCAGGTGGATACATTGAATGGGTTAGTGGAATGCTTTTCTCAGCGGGTCGAGGTTTTAGTAGAGGAGAAAAGGGTGCTGGAGAGCCAGGCAGATTGTGCTATCAAAAGGTTGGAGGAGGAGATCGCAATGAGGAAGGTTGCAGAGGAGGATTTTGGGTGGTTGCTTCTGAAAGGCTTTGTCCTAGTGGTTGATTAGGTTGTTGAGAGTGCTGAGTTTGTATTGGGGTTTAAGCAGATGAAGATGGGATGTGTGGCTGCCGGTGTGGAGATTGGCAAATAGGTGATCCGGGAGCAAGTTGCCACCAGGAAGTTTGTCTCCGGGGAAAAGGACGCTACTTCGGAGCATGCATAGGTAATGCATGCTGCTATAGAATCTTTCATGGAGACAGACTTTGGCTCCTACCGTCGCCGGGGTGAGATGGACATGGGTGGCCTTTGTCAAATTTACGATGATCCTGACTCCGAGGAAGGCCATCCTGAAGGTGGCGCTTCTCATGTTGGATCTTCCTCCACCTGTCAGTAAGTGATACCTTTTACCCTTTGTTGTTGTTTGATGTTTAAGATAATATTTGCATCTTCGTGGTGTTTTTCAAACAATTTTTAAAACAATATCTAATTTTCTTCTTTGGCCCTATGTGGTCATTTTAAAATCCTGGCGGCTTGTCCAGGTAATACAATACATGCTTTGTGTTTTTTGTATGTTGAGTTTGCTTTTAGTTCATCGTGTTTCTCTCCCCTTTTTTTTCATTTTGGATGGTTTGTGTTGGCCAACCTTGGTTTGGATTTTCCCAGAGGTTAGTGTTGGCCTTTGAGGGTCTTGGTCATGTTTATCGTTTGTTTAAACCAACTTTGGGGGATAGAGCGTCTGTTCTGATGGGCTCGACGCTACCCCTCATCTTAGCCTCTGTTATTCAAGGCTTTAGTTAGTCTGTAGGTGCGAACTCTAGCCGGTTCATTCCGTTAGGATTTCTTTTCTAGCTAAAAGCTTTCATTTTTGGGCTTTGCTCTAAGCCTTGGGCCAAGGGGAGTTGTACTCTGGCCCTAGTTGTCTAAGCAAGATCCAGGTCATCACCTCAGGGTCTAAAAGATTAGGCATTATGCACTTTGAGAAAAAGGTTATATGATCCTTTAAGGCCTCTTACTTGTCGTGATCAGGTTTTGCAGCTCTCCTGACCTCACCGACATGTTTATTAGGGTGAAATGGTAAGATCTTGAGGCTTACGTTTGTGTTTTTCTCATTGGTTTTTTGTTGGTGGCACGGGTGATCAATCCATATTTATTTCCATTTGTAAGAAAGTATGTCGATACTCATTCGCTACAAAATTTCTTTTCATTGCATATTTTTTGGTGCCTTGGAGGTATCTACATTCTTAGATATGTATCAAGAGTCCGATAGTGTTTGCTATTCTAGGTTTAGCTCTTGGACTGGCTACTTGGGGCATGATTATCTGTTAGGAGTTTGGTCACTTGGCCCCTTCCATTGATTCTCCTCAAGCTTTGACTATTGGCTTGGGCTCTAGGGCGAAGGTGTGTAGGTATGATCAGTGATGTCCAAACTTGCTTGGTGTTCATGATGACAACCCTTGATGTTTTTGGGGTAGCAATGATATTGCTATCACGCCCTTCCCCTCAGGCTGTTCTTTTGGGATTGGTTTCCTTTAGTCTTCTCTTTAGTGTGGATATTTGTGATTTTGAGCTTTACCGTATGGGTGTTAGTTGTTGTTGTACGCCACTTTCTTGCGATGTGTATAGTGGCCCAAGTGGTGATCGCCCAAAGTGGGTTTTCATGTGTGTTCATGGCAGTTACTGTCACAGAGCCATTCGTTGTTCTGAACATTATTGTACCCTGTATCGTTGACGGGATGGCTTGTAGCCAGAAGAGGGCAGGTCGCCCTAGGATCATATCGTCTTCTGACTTATGTTTAACTACCGAGAACTCAATTAATCTTCTAACCGTTTCCTTCCCATCATGGCTGAGTAGTATCAATGAGAAGTTTATGGTCCCGAGTGGCCATAATTTGTGTCCCATGAAGCCAGTGAGTAGGGCTTTGGTTGGTCGTTTTAGGCTTCTCTTCAAGGATGGCGGTAGTCGCTCAAGGAAGTGCTTGTAGAGAATGTTGGTGCTGCTGTTATTATACGAAGGTGAGGATTATGATTGGATCTATGGGGTCCTGGTTGGGAGCTCACACGTCTTCCGATGAGAAACTTATGTTGAGAGTATCGTCGGGTAAGTCGTCGACGCCATTGGCTGGCAGTCAGCACCTGACTATGCTCCCTGGGCTTGCGATTGCGAAGATTTCTTCCTTTTTGATTGGTTTGTTGTTCGTCTCCTTCTGGGTTCTCCTTTCCTTCCATTCGACTTCGAACTTTGATCATCAAGTCTTCGT